AGGGAAATAGAGAGAGAAATGCTTGGTGATCTCGGTTTCTCTGGAGCTGCTAAGTTTCTTTAAGTACCTTGGCATCTTTTGCAGGATAAACTGACTAACATTTGCAAGATATCGCCAGCCTAGTTTGTTGGCTGCATGTAATTGATTCTTCTAGACTCATATGAATACTTGTAAAAGCATTCATAATTTTATTTGTCCAAGTTAGAATTATTGTTCAATCTGAATCATCAGATGCATTGTTTTCCCAACAGCATATTGTTGATGGCATGCTATGCTTTTATTAAAAAAGATAAGATATACATTGAACAATTAATGAATCAGATAACATCAGTTACTATCTTCTTCAATCTCAAAAGAAAAATTCCCAAAGAAGAAGAGTAAAACGATATAACTGAACTAGTCAAATTGTATATAAACTGACCTTTCCATCTCTGTCACTGTCAAAGGAATGTATCATAGTGGCAATCTCTGTTTCCGTCCAGTTAAAATCGTGAGCGAACACCAGTCTCTGTAGATCGCGCAATGAGATATACCCTTTCCCAGTCTCTGGAAAGCAATTCATATAGTTTGAAACATGCAGTAAGAATATCAGATCAACATTAAAGATTAAACTTAACACTTTCGAATCAACTCAGTCAAAGTAAATTAAAGCAACGGAAACATTTGAACACATTTTGATTAATTCTGACACTCCAACTGCCAATAGAAAGTTATTTTTTATGCTTTGTGAACTTACAATTAGTCAACTCAGTCAAAGTAAATTAAAGCGACGGAAACATTTGAGCACATTTTGATTAATTCTGACACTCCAACTGCCAATAGAAAGTTATTTTTTATGCTTTGTGAACTTACAATTAGTCAACTACACACGTATGGCGTTCCATAAAAAGCAATAGATATACTGTAATTTCTAATTTGAGACTGGCAAAAGTAAATCAACTTTAAAAATCACTTGGTGCGGATACCCGACAACCAAAACAAATTGTAAAGAGAGGATGTTGCAATGTACCTTAAAAAGCCAGGTAGAAGTTAGGAAGCTCTAACTTATTGGTCATAGCAGTTTTCCAGGAGTGACTTAAAAACCAATCTCGAAGAGGAAAAGAGGAAAATGGCAAAACCATTCGTAACCCGAGTTATGTGACTGAGGAACAAAAGTCAGATGACTAAATCATTACTATGCTTCAGTTAGATAAGGCTCCATGGCGGATGTTTTCTAGTAATATTTTCTTTGTTGACGAGACCAGAGATGTTGTCAAGGTTATTCATAGTGATACCGAGTCATTCACCTAGGAATTACTTTTTAATTAGGGCTTCTCATGTATGGGCACAATCTGGCAGCTTCAAATGTTTTCTTTAATGAGTCAACATAGCACTGATCTATGATTTTCGCTGTGTAGGCCTGTAGAGTTTACCGAACCGGTTCGAGATGTAATTTCATGGAAAGCCAAAACATTTATAGATGAACTGAATATTCTGTGAACACAGAATATTATGGCTGGGGATCTCACAGTGGGATTCCATATTCACAGAGAGAAGAAAAGTCATCCGCTTGTGAACATGATCATGTTGAGAATAGAGCATAGAATAAGGCGTATGGGAGTCTGAAGACCTAGGATTAACCAGGATGATACAGCCAGCGGGGCACATTTATCAGCTTTGTACTCATAAAAGTGAGTGAGACAGAGGGCTAGAGAGAGGTATATACCATCAATCGTAAAGAAATATGCGACCATTTCATCCTCAGTTAGTTGAACTCTGCTCTTATTCTGAAACAAATACCAAAAACATTTTAAAAAACAACTATATGGTGGAAATTAATTGAAAGTACAATATGCACAGAACACTATGCAGAATCACAAACCATTTGTCTACTCTTCTTTCTACCAGCAGGGCCTTGCATATTTGCTTTATCTTTTTTCGAACGCACATTAGCACCAGCTTCAGTTCTGTCAGAACTTGAAGAAACAACATGAAATGCTTCGGTTGAGTCCTGTGTAATGCTGCCTGCAAGTGGGTTGCAGTCAAGTAGAGCACTCCAAAATTCTAAAAGTCTTACGCATAGAGGAAAAAGAGCAAGTGCAGGAGTTTCATAAGCCATATACATACATACCTGGTGTAAAGCTGCATCACCATCATCAACTTGGTCAGCATCATCTTGCTTTCTTTTTACAGATGCACGTTTCTTAATGCTTGATGTTTTTAAGGAGACTTTTTCCTTTCCCTGAGATAAAACAAGAAATTTGGAGACTGAACAACGTTGTAAGAAGCCAAAAATATTTACTGGTTAGCTGCTAGGCATATGATCAACAATAACATCACCCAAGGTATATATATTTTCGATGTGTTATATACTATACAGAAGAAGAATACACAACAAATGAGCAATCCAGATGGAAACTGTGGAAGAGTATAAATCACATCATATTTTCATCATGGTATGAGATCAAGCTCGGGAAAGAAAACCTAGGTCACAGGACCACTTTCTAATGACTACTTGTTGCAAAAAAAAAAAAATGATCAAATGGATGTCATGTGGTCATAAACAAGGTAGAAACGGGAGCTGTAAAAGGGTGAAATTCTTGATATCATAATTTCCCCATGTAACAAGATCTAATTCAGGAAAAAGCCTGGGATCACAGGACCGCTTTTCAAAGTATATTTATTGCAGAAAGATCGATCAAATGTATCTCATCTATCTCACAAAGATTATCGAACATGTATTTAAAAGCATTCAGGGTTAAAACCAACATCTGCTTGCATACATAAATAATATAAACATGAGGATGAAAAGGTATTGAATGAAAATTTTAAGTCCTCTCTTAGTTAATAATACATGATTAGATTAACGTGTATAACAATTGTAAGCTGTACCAACTATTTTCTTGGAATTGGCTGGATGAGGAAGGACTAAGGAGGGGGAGCAGACAATTTTGAAAATGGCTACCGGGGATGTGGGCATCTACGTAATGGGTATCGGGTCTGAGTTTAACTTAAGGTGCAAACCAGCTATTTCAATTGGACCTAAATATTGGCCAGTGTATAAAATATCCATCATGTTAAAACAAAACAACCAGCTTATTTTGCTATATCGTAGAGGAAAAGCCTCCAAGATGATAAGCCCAGCAAAATGCGTTCTCTATTGGCCGATATTCTGGACATAGTTGGAAATGCTCAAATCTGTGCAAGACTTGAGCCTTCAAATTAGATGGGAAAATGATTGCTATTTCAACCCAGTTAAGCTACCTATTCACATACAAACAAGTGCAGGCTTCAGCATTAGACTAGCAAGTGAGTAACTGTTGAATCAACAGGTCGATAAACACAATTTTAAGTTGGTTTTAATTCTAGAGTTAATCGCACAAAGACCCCCCTCGTAGTATACGCAAAACGTTACTCAGTTGATTATACATCCACTGGAACTGAAGACTCTTCGCATCTGAATTACAAAAACCAAGGGGTCTGCCTGTAATTTAACCCTTCGTTCTAATATATTTAGGAAATGAGATGAGATTAGATGCACGTGGGTTCTGGTTCCTTGATGACGGGGGGATTTTAAGCGACTGATCTGATTCTCTCTTCCTCTATTGTTTTGACATATAGCACGCAGTTTATTGAAATCAAAAGCATCAAGAGAAGAAAAAAAATCTAACCAAATAAACCTTTCTCTGCTCTCCTTCTTCTTCCTCCTCACTGGAAGAGCAACTCCCCCCATCGTCGTCGTCGTCGTCTTCATCCGACGGCCTGTATTCATCCTCATCTTCCTTGCCGTTCCTCTTCTGCTTCTGCTTTCCCTTGTTTTGAGTTTGCCCTCGCTGCTTCGACGAGGAGAGGAGGAGGGAGGAAGCGAGGTTTGGGAGGCCTAGGGCTTCGAGCCTCGCTCTGTTCTCTCTGATTCTTGCGAGCCTCTGCTGCTCGTAGTCCGATGCCTCCTTCGCTTTCCCTTCTTCTTCTTCTTCTTCCTCCTCCTCCTCTTCTTTCTCCTGTTGCTGTTGTCGTCGTCGTTGTCGACGGGGGTTTGAGGAAGAAGGCGATGCTTCTTCCATTCGTTGATCTCTCTGAAATTAAATTTGGGGGCATTTCGTCTGCTCGCTTCTCGCAGTTCTTATTTTCAGGCTTTGGGCTGGGCTTTCTCCCTACAACCGCCGGTTGAGAGTGTAGACTGGGCCTGATGGTCGTGGTCGTATAAAGAAGTGAGATTACTGCTTCGACCATTGTAGGCCCAAAATGCGGGCCTACTTACATCTATTTGTTAGTTCAGTCTTTTGGCCCACTAAGCTAGCTATTTGAAGAATTCGGAGGGCACGATAGTTTGATGCGCTTCGTAAAATGGCATTCCAATCAAGCAATAGATCACGTAGGCAGATTGCGCATGTACACGGGGACTCAATTATTAATCACATTTATTTTCATCAACTGTAAAAATAGCAACAACGCTCTTAATTAGATAAGAGTTTCTGTTTCCTTATATTTAATTATTAGTGACTGTGACAAGAGAGCTATCTCCTCTTGACGAGAACTCGATCAGCAAATTGGCACAGTTTGACCCCCAGTCAACATGAGAAGGAAAAAATAATTTAATTAAGTATCTAAGCTTTCCCTCCTCTATTGCCTTTTATTTTCC